CGGTGCTCAGCTGGAGGCCCACCGCGGCAAGGCTGGCCACGAGCAAGTGGAGGAGGCGCGCGACGGCCGGCGCGTCGCCCGCGAGGCAGCCGACGTCCAAGTAGAAGAAACTCAGGTCGACGGCGCCGTCGGCGCCGTGGCGCGGCGCGCGAAGGGCGGCCTCGGCGGCGCGCTGTAGTGCTAGGGAGAACAGAAGGGGCCCCAGGGGGTCGCCCTGCTGCACCCCGCACTCGGAGCGGACTGTCTGTTTGCCCAGGAAGAGAGTTGACGGGCGGGAGTAGCACCAGTCGGCCCAGGGTGCCAGCCCGGGAAACTCTTCGTGGACCGCGCGGAGCAGAGCCTGCCTGTCCAGGGCGTTGAAGGCGCTAGACAAGTCCAGCTTCACAAACACCTTTCCCCGGTCCCCGAGGTGGCGGGTCCACCACTGGCGCGCGACGTGCACCGCCGCCTCGGTGCCGCCAGGGACCGCGACGCCGATCTGGAGGGGAGCCAGTCGGTCGCGCGCGGCGTCGGCAACCTCGTGGCAGAGGCACTTGCCGACGAGGCGCCGGAGCACCTCCCCGACGGCAACAGGGCGCAGACCTCCGTCCTTCTTCGGCAGGGCCACGAGAGAGGCGCCCGCGAAGTACTCGGACACGGTCGTCGGGGCCTGCCCCCTGGCGCAGAGGTTGACAAGGCTCCGGAGCTGGTCGGTGACCTCGTCCCTGTGGGCCGCGTTGAGCAGTGCGTCTTTGAGGTGTTGGGGTCGGAGGCCCGTTGGCCCGGCGGCCGAGCCCCGGGGGAAGGCCCGCACCTCCCTACGGACCGCGTCCCCGTCCATCTGCAGGGCAGCAGCCGCGTGGACAGCCGGAAGGCTGGCGGGATCCACGGCTTGGCGGCTGCGCGGGTGCTTCCGGCTCATCTGTTCAACGACGTCGGGGGTGACCTCCACGGGCGGCTCGCTGGTCAGAGCCGAGCAGCTCTTGGAGTACTGGGCGTCTGCGGCGAGCTGCACGCACCTCTCCGCTCGCTGGGAGGCTGGCGAGGCGTGCTTGGCAGCGCGAGCCTCGACTGCCTCGGCCCACAGGGAGGCCCGCTCCCCGTCCAGCCAGCGCCGGCACAGCGCCTTGGTCTGCGCTTCGCCGGCCGCCCTGCTGCCTCGGCCGCCACGGGTGTGAGGGCGCATGACGCATTTCGGGAGCATCGCAAGCTCTGTCCACGCAGCCTCGGAGTTGTTGTGCACGGTCTGGGCCACCGTCTGCACTAAGCACCGTGCCCAGAGGTCCCGGGCGCCCTTCGGGACGTAGCGCTTGGTGGTGGAGCGATTGGAGAAAGCTTCCCGGAGGGAGGGGAGACCCGCGGGCTCGCTGTGCGGTTGGCCGCCAGCGGCGGGAGCGGCGGCTGCCACGGCTGCGGCCGCGCGCGCGGCAGGGCGGCAACGCGGGCAGATGCCGCCGAAGCGCGTCGACAAGAACCGTTGGCAGACCGAGCATTGCTCCAACCGGTGCTCTTGCAGGTACTCGGGCGGGACTGGTGGCAGCCCAGGGAACCGCCCGGCGGCGTGCTCGTTCAGGTGCGGGCGCATGCTTTGGTGGCCCCCCCAGCCGGCGGAGGACGCGGCGTCGCCGCGCGGGCACCCAGGGACGGGGCAGTGCACCCGGACGCGGGCACGAACCCTGCGCTGGTGGGCAGGATCGGGCGCCGGGGGAGGGGGGGCTGGTATCTCTTGCCCGGCTGGCGGCGCTGCCTGTGGAGCCGCGGGCGGCGGGGCGCCCTCCCCAGGAGCGCTGGCCGGGGGGCGGTTGAGAGCCTCGGCCCGGCGCTGTTCCTCCAAAGGAATCCCCGCGTCCACATGCATGTCCCTGGCAGGGTCGAGATTCAACCCGCCGAGTCCCACGACCAGGAGCGGCTCATCCCCATCAGTCCGGTTGCGCCGGAGGTATCGCCCAGGGGAGCGAACCGCTGGCCCCGCCTCGACAAACGTGTTGTTCACGTGGACCTCCTGCCTCGCTGGGCCCGCAGAGGCAGAGGAAGCCGCCGCGGCGCTCGGACGCTGAGGGCTGCGGGAACCGCCCCGCCGGCACGTGCACCGATTAGTCTCCCATTGGCACGTGGCGCAAATGCCATCCGAAGCGGGGAAAGCAGGCGTGGTGACCGCCCGAACGAGGAGGACCACCTGGCCGGCCCAAGCAGCGGGGCTCGTTGGGCAGAACCACGCTGGGCTGAGGGCCGCCGTGGAAGCCAGCGTCAAAGCCTCGCGCAGGGGGCGTCGGACGTGGAAGTCGTGAGCGAGAGCCGTCGCACAGATCGCTGCCGAGCCCCGCTGCGCGGGTCCGCCGTGCACCATGGCCCCATAGACGACGACCTCGAGAGAAGCTGGGGACACGCAGGCGGAGGCGAGGAGCAACGCCGGGTGCACGGGGACGGGAAGCGCCGCCCCGAGCGTGGAGCTCAGGACCTGCCCCGTCACAGCCCATAACATGACCGAAGGAGCCACGATTGGGAGAGCTGCGAGGAGCGCGGGGGCTCGTTGGAGGATACTGTGCACCCCACCGAGAGCGAGTGAGGCCCCATGCGAAAGGCAGCGCGCTGGCCATTGAGAGTCGGGAGATGGGAATCCACATGGGCACGCAGAAGTGCATGCCGCTCCCGACGCGCATGCGGCGCAAGAGCGGAGGTGCTGGTGAAAGTAAAGCTCGGCTGAACTAGTGTAGTGGCCTCGTGGGGGCTCTGTAGCGCCCAGGAGCTGGTCCTCGCAGTCGTGGGAGCCGAGCCGGTGCTGGTGGTAGGAATCGCCGCATCGGCGGTGGTTGCCGCTGTAGTGTTCGTACTCGTGGCAGTCGTAGGCATGCTGGTTGCACAGGTGGTCGTGCTGGTTGCCCGTGTCGCTGGTGCTGGTCGTCTGAGCACGCTAAGACGGGACCCAAGTGTTCTGCCACACGCGTGTCCAGGGCACATCCATCCTGCAGGGCCTCAGAGACGCCCCAGAATGGCCCACGGTTGCCCCACATGGTTCCCAAAAGCCCACCCTTCCTGCCGCAATCCCCGGGAGCACCTTCACTCACCTCCAAGGCCCCCCCTCACCTTCTGAGTCCCTTCCCTTCCGCCTCCTGCAATTGATGTGACGTCCTCTGTACTCATCACCTGCTCGCCTAGGGGTCGGCGGACTGGCGCATACCTCTTGAACAGATGCGAGCAAGGAAACAAGGACACATACACACCGTTCGGCTACACGCATGAGCGGCCCTGGGCAACAGTGACCTGTAGTACGCAGCTTTAGTGGGTGGGTGGGGTGGGGGGTGGGGGGGGAGGCAAATCCAAGCGCACAAGCCAGTGCTGAAGGGCATCTGCGGGCCCGCGCCAAGTGTCACTCCTGAGTCACTCAGGCGCAGGGTCACTCTTACGTGTTGTCGAACTGTCACAGGCGCATAAGATCATGCAGCCACACCTTCACACAGCATACATTCATTGATGGCGATGCTCGAGTCGAGCATCCATCCATGACTCACATCATGAATCTCCTGCTCATTCGTAGAGTCGTGAGCAAGTAGGCACACACACACACACTAGTGCTTCCTGCGAGTCGATAGGGTTGCCGTCGGCGGCTCAAACACAACAATGGAAAAGAGACACGTGCATTTGGCCACCTTGTGTGGCCACGCGAACTAGGCCAGCGACATCGGCCGAGCCGACAGGATCGCCTGCTGGGAGGCAATGAATCGGGCGAGCGCGGCCCCGCCGCACCAGCGGCAGGCCGACGCACGCCTGCCGCGGCACGCCAGTGGGGGAGAGCGGCCCCGAGCGCGGGCGACAGCCTTGCACCTGCAGGAAGTCCAGAATCCGGTTGTAGGTCTTGGCGTTGTACTCCTCCAGGTGCAGGAGGAAGGTGTCCTGCGGGTTGTCCGCCTGGCGCGCGAGGCGGCGGCCGACGGGGGGGAGGAGGAGGAGGAGGGATGAGGAGGAAGGAGGAGGAGGATGAGGAGGAGGAGGAGGAGGAGGAGGAGGAGGCAATAGGAGGGAGGAGGAGGTGGAGGAGGGGGAGGGGGGAGGAGGATGAGGCAGGAGGGAGGAGGAGGCAGGAGGAGGAGGGGAGGAGGAGGAGGAGGAAGGATGGAGGAGGAGGAGGAGGAAGGGAGGAGGAGGAGAGGAGGAGGAGGAGGAGGGGTGCAGGAGAGAGTAGTGAGAGGAGGGGAGGAGGTGGAGAGGAGGATGGAGGGGTGGAGGAGGAGGAGGAGGAGGAGGATGGAGGAGTTAGTAGGAGGAGGGAAGGGAAAAAAAAAGAGGAGGAGTGAAGGAAGGAGAGGGCGGAGGAGGAGGACGAGGCGGAGGAGGAGAGAGGAGGGGGAGGGGGAGTGGGAGGGGGATGAGGAGGAGGAGGAGAGAGGAAGGAGGAAGGAGGAGGGGAGGGAGGGGGAGGCGGAGGAGGAGGAGGAGGGGAGGAGGAGGAGGGGGAGGGGGACGGGAACGGACGCGGGAGCGGTGGCAGACAGGGCGTCCAGCTGGCCAGCTCGAGCGAGCCAGCGGGCCCCGCCCGCTCCTGCCCTCGCCCCCCGCGGCACGAGAGCCAACTGGCGGCGCAGCTCGGCGCCGGGCCTGGCGCGCGCTCCCGCCCGCGCCCCGAGCGGAAGGCGCTCGCGAGCAGTCCCGCTGCGTCCCGCTCAGGACGAGCTGGAGAGGGGTGGGGAAGCGCGGGCCCGCTGCTCGGCCACCCGCCCACCCCGCCCATCCACGGGCCTGCCGGGGCCTGCCGGGCCTGCCGCGGACGTTCGCCGGGGCCGCGGCCCGGGGAGGCCTGGGCGGGCGGCCCTGGCTCTCGCGGCCCGTCGTGGTGGACGCTTGCCCGTCCGCCCACGACGCGACGACGCCGGGCGCGTGCCCGATGTCGACCAAGTGTCCGACCCTGGCTTCGCCCGAGAGTGGCCGCGGGGCGCTCGCGGGAGGAGCGCGCGGCACCGTCGCTGCCTGCGTCCTACGTCCCTCCGCCCTCCTCCCTCTGCCATCCTCCATCTTGCCACCGCCTCCGCCGCCCCCTGATGAGCGGAGGGAGGCGGAGTGCGGATGGGCGGAGGGAGGATGGAGGAGGAGCAGGAGGAGGAGAAGGAGGAGGAGGGAGGACGTGGGGAAGCAATAGCAGGATGAGCAAGAAGAGCAGCAGGAGGAGCGTCTCCTCCTCCTCCTCCTCTCCTCCTCCTCCTCCTCCTATTCCTCCTCCTCCTCCTCCTCCCTCCTCCTCCTCCTCCTACTCCTCCACCTCCTCCTTCCTCCTCCTCCCTCCTCCTCCTCCTCCTCCTCTCCTCCTCTCCTCCCTCCTCCTCCTCCTTCCTCCTTCCTTCCTTCCTCCTCCTCCTCCTCCTCCCTCCTCCTTCCTCCTCCTCCTCCTCTCCTCCTTCCTCCGCCACTCCTCCTCCCTCCTCCTCACTCCTCCTCCTCCTCCTTTTTGGCAAGCTATTGGGCCTCGAGGACCCGAAGCGTCAAACTCTCCTCTTCCGCCTCTCTCGCCTCCCCTTCTCCTCCTCCTCTCCTCCTCCTCCTCCCTCCTCCCTACCTCCTCATCATCATCATCATCTCATCATCATCATCTATCATCATCATCATCATCATCATCCTCATCATCATCATCATCATCATCTCATCATCATCATCATCATCATCATCATCGCGTCATCGTCATCGTATCGTCCATCATCATCATCATCATCATCATCATCATCATCATCATCATCATCATCATCATCATCATCATCATCATCACTCATCATCTCATCATCATCATCATCATCATCATCATAAATCATCATCATCATCATCATCATCATTCGCCCCTGTCCGCCTTCCTCCTCCGCCTCCTCCTCCTCCTCCTCCTCCTCCCCTCTCCTCCTTCCTCCTCCATCCTCCGCCTACGCCTCCGCCTCCTCCTCCGCCTCACGCGACTACTATTCCAGTGCAAAGAGCCGCGCAGCAGACCGCGGGCGCGCTGCCTGGAAGAGCTCCAGCTCCTTGGTCCAATTCGACAGCTCCTCGAGGGGAATGTCCTGACCGGTCGAAACTTTGGCCCCCTCAGCCGAGGTTGAAAGAGCATGGATTGGACGACGCCAACCGTGTGGCAGACCAGCTCGATGGACGCTGCCGCGCGCTCCAGCACGCGCGGAATCGTGCATCGAACTGGTCTGACACACGTCTGGCGTGTCATCCAAACGAATGTCGAGCGGCAGGTGGCTCAAAGCTGCAAGGCAATGCTGGCCCACAATCCGAAGGGGCAAGATCAGCACACCAGGCAGACGGCCAAGTGCAGTAATAGCTGCGCAATGAAGGCGAAATGGACGCTTCTCGGTCTCCCCGTAGAACGGATCGGAAAACAGGCCCCAGCAACAAATATATTCCCATGGTCGTCAGATCGGGGGGCGGCACCGGTTTCTGAAACTGGCTCCGAACGACCAGCTGGTGGGGAAGAGAACCGCCATCTCAGAGTGGGACGGCCCTCTGAGAGCCCACATCATAGAAGGTCTGGCGAACACGATGTCTTAAAAGATCCACCACCTTCAAAAACATATCCTGGCCTTGTCAGAAGGCTGTCTCCTAGATCTGGCCCCTTTCGCGCACCGCCGATGTCCATCTGGAACTGGGACTGGTGCTGGGTGTGGAGGTTCTTCCGCGTGTTCAGGATGATCTTGGCCCCAGGGAAAACCTGCGCCACAGGCCAGGCAGAGTTGGAGCAGGACCTCATCCTCATCCCTTATCCCTCATCGCTCCTCTTAATCATTACAGCAAGTCTTACAGACATAAGCCCCATGAGCATCATCACCATCATCATCAGCATCATCATCATCAGAATCAGCACCATCATCAAAATCATCCTCATCATCACTATCATCAGCATAATCAGAATCAGCATCATCAGAAGCAGCAGCGTCAGCATCAGCATCAGCATCATCAGCATCAAAAGCATGCTCGTCCTCGCCATCATCAGCAACAGCATACTCACCATCAGCATCAGCAGAATCCTCATCATCACCATCATCAACAACAGCAGCATCATCGTCATCATCGACGTCGTCACCAACACCACCATCACCCTCATCCTCACTATCATCCTCATTATCCTCCACGTCAACATCACCCTCGTTGTCGTCATAATCATCGTCAACGTCGATATCGTCGTCGGCGGCATCAACATCAAGTAGCATCGGTAGAAGCATCATCATCACACGCATCATCGCCACCATCATCATCACATTCGTCACCATCGCACTGTTCTCATTATCAGCATGGTTTGTGTGCCTTCTCCCTCCTCCCTTCTGCCCGTCCTCCTTGCCCTCCTCATCCTCCTCCTCCTACTCCATCCCTTTTCTGGGACGGTTGAGGATTCTCAGACGGTTGTCAAATGAGGTATTCTCCTCAATGAGGCACCCTCCTCAGGAGGAACTTGGAGGGAGGGTAGATTGCAGCATCGTTGAAGCCTCTTGGGCTTGCACTGGTTCTCCGCCTCCTCCTCCTCCGCCTCCTTATCCTCCTTCCCTCCTCCTCTTGCCGCACCCCCCGCCGAGTTATATGCCCCCCACCCACCACCATCACCTCCATCCCTCCCCCTTGTTTTGCTCGTCTTCCGCAGAGGCACTCGCAGTCTGCGAACTGAACCTCCACACGCAACCCCACCAGCCCTCTGGGCGCAGGTGGTCTAACGATATTCGTCCCTCATCTTCCAAAACCCGTTTTCCATCCGGGGAGGGATAACCCTCCCCCTCCCCCTCCTTGAGATGTCTTAGGGGGCTCGCGATGTGGCAAGGGTTGGTTGTCGGCCGGTGGCTCCAAGAAGGTCCCCCGATGATCCAGGATGGTCCCCAAGATGGCTCAAGACAACCAGAGATAGCTTACGACATCCCTCCAAGAGGCCCCAAGAGGAACACAAGACGGCTCCAAATGCTCTCGCAGCCCCCACTAGGACGTCCCAAAGAGGCCAAACTCCTGCGAAAGCCTGGAGCAAAGCACGTATGTTTGCTTTCTCGCGGTGTCGCTTCCGACGCAGCTTAGATGCCTCAAGATGGCCCAAGATAGCCCCAAGAGAGGCCCCAGAGGCCCCCAAACCCCAAAGACCCCCAAGAGCGCACCAAGAGGGCCCCGCAAGGCCACAAGAGGCGATGTTGAGGACTCTTGAGGGGGGCCTGAATTAGGGAGCCCCCTTCTTTTGATCGACGCCTTCGACGATGACCCTAAGCGGCCTTCAGGGCTCCCAAGAGGCCCCCAAAAGGGCTTCAAGAGGGCCCCAAGACCGCCCAAAAAAGCTCCTAGACCCTCCAAAACAGCCGCAAGGGGGCCGCAAGAGAGCCTACAGAGGACCGTGAGAGAGCCTCCAAAGACCCCAGGACGGCTGCCAGAGTCGTCATCCTCCTTCCTCCTCCTCCTCCCTCCTCCCTCCTCCCTCCTCCCTCCTCCCTCCTCCCCCTCCCTCCTCTCCTCCTCCTCCCTCCTCCCTCCTCCCTCCTCCCTCCTCTCCGCCTCCTCCCCCTCCTCCCTCCTCCCGCCTCCGCCTCCCTCTTCCCTCCCTCATCCTCCTCCCCTCCTCCCGCCTCCTCCCTCCTCCCTCCTCCCGCCTCCCTCCCTCCCTCCCTCCCTCCTCCCTCCCTCCCTCCCTCCTCCTCCCTCCCTCCCTCCCTCCCTCCCTCTCCCTCCTCCCTCCCTCCTCCTCTCCTCCTCCTCCTCCTCCTCCTCTCCCCTCCTCCTCCTCCTCCTCCTCCTCCTCCTCCTCCTCCTCCTCCTCCTCCTCCTCCTCCTCCTCCTCCTCCTCCTCCTCCTCCTCCTCCTCCTCCTCCTCCTCCTCCTCCTCTCCTCCGTCTCCGTCTCCGTCTCCGTCTCCGTCTCCGTCTCCTCTTCCTCCTCCTCCTCCTCCTCCTCCTCCTCCTCCTCCTCCTCCTCCCTCCTCCTCCTCCTCCTCCTCCGCCTCCTCTGCCTCCTCCTCCTCGTCTTCGTTCTCTTCCTCATCGCCCTCCTCTCTCTCGTCCTACTCCTCCGTCTCGTCCTCCGTCCTCCATGCCTATTCCTTATAAACAACTCCTCCCTGTCGCACCTCGAGACGTGTCCGTAGGATGGGCCAGGCGTTTCGCCGGCGACTTCCTCACCACTCATGATCCAGAAGCTCGACAGCTGCAAGAGTTTCACGGATGGAGAGCGGCTCGTGCTCACGCATTCGTCTCGGAGGTTTGCAAGAGCTTGACAGATGGAGGGCGGCGTCTTGTCAAAATGTGGCTCGCGCCTCAACGCCGCGCTCATCCGTCTTAAGAGTTTAACACAGCTTCAAATATTCGTATGGCTGACGTCCAAGAAATGATGTTGTGGCACGGTATAGGGCTGCCAGGGCGCAACAGCCACGTTGATTTGCGGTGTTGAGTGCTGAAGTCCCAGAAACGGCGTTGTGGAGCGACTCAGGATCGTCAGGACGCAGCAGGCGTTGAAGTCCCAGGAGTTGTGTTGTGGCACTGTTCAGGATTTTGAGACGGTTGCTTTCCAACGGGGAACTTCCCTCAGTGAATATGAACCCTTGTTAAAATCCATGAAGAGGGAGATGGAAGGAGAGCCTGTTGCAGAATTGTTGACCGGTTTGGGTTTGCATTGGTCCTCGTCCTCCTCCTCGTCCTCCTCTTCCTCCTCCTCCTCCTCGTCCTCCTCCTCGTTTTCGTCCTCGTCCTGGGTCTGGACTAGGATGATCCAAAACTGTTTCCATTGCATGCTCCTAGACTGACCTGAACAAGGCAACTCGCCCGCACATCGTTTCTGGATGGGCTGGTGAGGATGCGCGAAGCGTCGAGAATTCGGAATCATGCAGACGGAACCAATTTGACAACAAATTCAAAAGACAACTCTTACGCCAATCAAGCCTCCATCCCTCCTCACCCCGCCCCGTTCCCTGCTAATCCGTCCGTCCTCATCACCACCGTCCAGCATCCCCTGCAGTCGCCATGGTGCGGAGTCTATCTTCGGATCTGGCCAGGCTCGCCCCGAAAGCTAACCCTGGCAATCCATAGCTCACCGTCGAAAATGATAAGCACTTCCTCCTCCTCCTGCTCCTCCTCCTCCTCGTCCTCCTCTGCATCCTCCTGCAGACGAAGAGAACACAGCTGACTGGGATCGCCTTGAAAACTATCCCTGAGAGCAAATCCCCTCTCAAAGACTGCGTGCCCTCGACGTGGCAGCCGCCGGGTGGCTTGGTGGGTTGTCCTGATGCAAGGCTGAAAAGACGCGCAGTGCGAATGGCCTTCTTGAAGAAGGAGAGCTGCTTCCGGTTGAGGTGCCTGATCTCTTTGAAGCCGATCACCTGCCATGCGAGGAGAGAGCAGATTGAAAGCACCTGCGACTCGATGGGGCCAGAGGTGAAAGCTGTCAGATGTCGTCCTCTTGATTGCCCTCTTCCTCACCTCATCTTACCCGTCCTCGTCCTCGTCCTCTCCTCTGCGTACCATATCTCGCCGCAAGTGGTACGATGCCGCTTGTTCTGCTGCTGATGTGCATCGTCGTTGCTTATTCGTTCTCGAAATCATCATCGCCGCGCCGCGGTTACCAATCATCATCACGACGGCCGCCTCAACCAAAATCCTCGTCATCGTACTCCCCATCCTCATCACCTTGACCACCACCTCCACGATCCTCGCCACCAGCACAACCATCACACTCGTCATCGCCATCCCTTCTCCCTTTTCCACCCTGCCTCTGTAGCAATCTTGGATCCAGGCCCATTCCGCGACAGGGCGTGAAGATCGGATGCAGCCTTCTGGCCGTGCGCGACCCCCTGGCGCAGAACCTCACGCGCGCGGCCTCCTGGCGCTCGTGGTGCCGTGGCGCCTTCTGGCTACTGGCAACCGCACCGTCCGCACAAACTTCGCCGAGGAGGAAGCACAACGCTCAAAAGAGGCCCAGGGACACACAAATAAATACACACAAATGAAAATATCCCCAACATTTTCCAATATTTTCTGGGTTTTTGTATTCCCCCCCACTTCCCATAGTTTCCCATATGTTCGTGGGAATCGACGATTAATTGTGTCTGTGTGTGTTTTTTCCCCCCTGAGCTCATGCCTGGCGATGAGCACTTGCCGTGGAGTGTATGATCACGAATGCGTGAACAATCATGAACCACCACCGTGCCTTCAGCACGTAATACATGGAGTCCCCCAAGGCTCATGTACGAGATAGGTCTAGGAACTGCAAGACACTTAAAACGGCCCCCGTCACCAATGTGGCGGCATTCCTGTGCGCTCTCGGCGACTGCCTCGTAGGCCGCGGGGAAGCCCGAATCGCCCAGACCGACTCCAACATCCCCCAAGAGCTTTCCAAGACACGCGCGAAAAGGCTTAGGAAGCCCCACGACTCACCGGGAGACACACAAGAAGCTCCTAGAGAGTCAAAGCTCCAAGAGAAGCCCCAGAGAACAACAGCAACAGCAACAGCAACAACGACAGCAACAGCAGCAACAACAATAACAACAACACCAACAGCAGCAGCAACAACAACATCAACATCCACAACAGCAATTTCCACAACAACAGCAACAACAACTGCAACAGCAACAGCAACAGCCACAACAACAACAACAACAACAACAACAATCATTTAAGACTGGGGACACTCCGTTCTCACCAGCGCCAGGGTTTTCATAGGAGGCGGGCAATACCCCCACTTTGTGGGGGGGCCGGTTCAAGCTCTACCAAGTTTCCAAACGACTCTTCGCCACCACCCACACCCAGCTTCCCGCCCTATGACGTTCGGACACTTCACTTCGTGGCCTGCGGACGACCTTGGCTACTACACTGGCGCATGGGTACAGTGACTTGTTGTGGTAACATTTTGTGGAAGCTAGCTTAGTATACGACTTTTCCCCCTGTTCCAACACTGGACACCTGTACCGTTTTCCGACGTTTTTCCGTTTCTGTACCACACAAGCGAAGACACTTATTTTGAGTGGTACCACGTACGGATGGCGGATGGCAGAGCCGTGCTGCTCCTCCAGCTCCTTGGCGCTAGAAATACTGACCTTGCCAGGCACAACCCGATACTTGACCCACCAAACCTTGCACGCCTGGTGACTGACCTGGATACCCTTTGCAACGAGCGCCTGATGCAAATAAAACGGGCTGCCGCAGTCGGCCAAGGGAGGCCGCGACAGCTCTGGGCCATACTGCTCGTCAAGGGCTTTCGCCGACAAAGCCATGACCCATCCAAGAACACAGGCGATACCTTGATCCGAGATGGCTACGGATGTGACAGTGATCAGTGATTTTGTTCGATGACGTGGTGACACACTGACTTGTTGTGGTACCATGCCGACAACGACGACGCGACGACGCGCGCATGTGTCCCGCATGATATTTTTGCAAGGGATTGTGGCCCCTGGCAGGCGCGCGAACGCCGTTGAAAGAGCTTGCGAAAACAGCTCGCGCGAGCTCTATAACATAAATGTTGAAAAACCATTGGTTTTTTAGGATTCGGACAGCGCGCGCGGGTAGAAATTTTGAAAATTCGTACAGATGTTTTTCGAGAACCTACGGTGCGATTCGTATGATTTTATGTTGCGCGGTGCTAAAATTCCTAAGAAACCCAATGATTTTTGAAGATTTCGGCGTGCGCGCGCGAAGAAAAAACGAATGTGTCCCACATGGTATTATTTGACAGGGATGATGGCCCTGGCAGGCGCGCAACCTTTGTTGCAGAAGTTCGAAGCACGTGAAAAAGTTGCTCGCAAGAGCCCGTTTGACAGAAATGTTGAAAAAGTATTGGGTTTCCTAAGAAATCCGCAAGAGCGCGCGGGGTGAATTTTTGAAACCCTTTTTTTGAAAAACCATTGGGTTTTTCATGTTTTTATGTGAAAATCGCTACGAAGACTAAGGTTTTGGAAGGATTTCGTCTTGCGCGCGCGAATGTGCACTTCGTGTCATTTTTTGCAAGGGATTCTTGAAGTTTGGTCATGTTAGAACAAGAAATGTCCACTTTGCCTTATTTTTTGCAAGGGAAAACCGATCGTAACAACACAACCGGATCTGGTATACCCCGTTTTGCCTGAGACTTCCTCACGAAAATGATGAAAATGTGGCTGCGGCCTAGGCGCGGCGGGGGGGGCGCGCACCAGGGGTCCCAACAATAATTATTCTTTAGAATTAATAATGTTCAACAACGACGACGACGACGACGACGACGACGACGACGACGACGACGACGACGACGACGACGACAACACACAGCTGACCCGCATGCGCAATGCTTCTACATGCAACATGCATCCATCATGATGCCACCCCCTCTTTGGGCCTAGTCCGCCTGGAGGTGGAAAAATCGAAAAGCGCTCCCCGAACACATATCTCAATACAGGACAATGTCTCCAGGGGCCTCCTGGGAGCGGAAGGGCCGAAAAGCGCTCCCCGAACACGTATCCCAATAGCCAAGCGTTGACCTCATCAGCAAGTTCCCGAAACAGTACATCCCCGGCAGGATCTCAATACGGGGGTGTACCGTCGTCGCTGCTTCCACCACATGCATGTATCCGATACCAGAACCAATACACAGCAATATGATAGAATAGATAACCAGCCCCAAAAATTTTAGACAGAAATTGGCATGCTCAGTCGCATGTCCGCGCGCATGTTCCGTGTTTATGAATGCGGCCAGGCGTCGTGGTTAGAGGCTGAACACGTTTCCGTGCGGCATGTTCCCATGCTTGACCCGGCTCGAAGTATCCAGCTTTCATGTCAGAGAGAATACCGGCATGGTAGGTTGAAAGTACTCAGCATCGTGAAAAGTTGTTGAACCTCTCGTGTAGGCTCTTGTGTTTTAAGCATTTTGTTTCCGAGCTCATCTCAAATAGGTCCACGAAATCGCAGATGGAGTGCGTGCTCAAGGTTGGAAATCTCAACGGTCATTTAGACCGTGCCAAAGAAGTAGGATGGAAGGAAGAGCCAGCAACACGCAATTGCGGCCAGCTCCGCTACCAAGTCGGAAGTAACGTGGCAACGTCACGTAGGGTGTAAAGGGTGATTAGAAGGATGGCGATCCTTGTTCCTCTCACACAGAACGCCTGATGTTCCACAAGGGCCATCAGAGGCCCCCAATACCACCCCAAGAGAGCCCCAGAGCCCCCAAGACAGGCCCGAAAGGCACCCAAAAAGTTTTCCAAGAGAGACCCGAAAAATTGACTCGCACCGGCTCCAGGCCCCCCTTGGTGCGCAGCGAGGCCTGGCCCCAGCGTTTGCGACAGGACGTCTCACAATTGTCACAACAACAAAAAAAAGATGTCTGAATCCCCACCCTTCTCACAAATGCATCGTTCCTTGATTCCCGCACCTCTCACGGAGGGGGGAGGAGGGGGGACGGAGGATGATGAGGACTGAGGGGGGAGAGCTAGGTGCGCTTGCGTCATATCTGACGTCCTACAACTCCCTCCCATCCCTTACCATGGCGTAGATCTTCTCTCTATTCGCAGTCGGACGTCGAGCAGGGCAATGGTCCCAAGAGGGTGCGCGATGCACCGTAGAGCACGACATAGCAGGGCGTAGAAGAGCACGGCAGAGCGTAGTATGTCATAGCATGGCGTGGCGTTGGGCAGTGAAGAATTGCATCACAAAGAATTGCAACGCAAAGAATAGCATCGCACAGCGGCACAGAACATAACATGGCATATCATGGCGTTGAAGATCAAAGCGTAGCACGGCATAGCATGGCGTGGCGCTGCGTAGTCAAACACTGCAGATCCTAGCATTGCAGCGGAAGACATGGCATTGCACAGCGGAACACTACATTGCATTGCATTGCATGCCGTGGCATGGCACTGGAAATATTTGCGCCAGCGCTGCAGCGGAAGCACGATTCGGAACGAGCAGAAACGCGAAAATGAGGCCAGCGCTGCAACGGGAGCACGATTCGGAACGAACGGAGACGCGGAAATGAGGCCAGCACTGCAGCGGGAGCACGATTCGGAACGGGCGGGAGCCCGAAAATGAGGCCCGCGTTTCAGCGGGAACAAGATTTTGAAATAAAACCAAAGCGAAAACCCGACTCCTGGGAGTCCTGTAAAAAACAGTACGCGGAGGGGGGCCGAACATCTTGTGGACGTCATCAGGGGAGAAAGGAGAGTTGTACTCATATTGTGTAACTGTAGAAGAGGGCTGCTTCTTAGAAGGCGCCAGCCCTACATGTACACACAAGGCCCGCGCCTTCTCAGAAGCAGGGGTGCCGCTAAGACGCCTTCCCCCCTCCCACCACCCCCTCTGCGCGTTGCTGAAGTCTGGCCGAGTGCCTTGGTCGTCTGCTCGTCGAACTGGCCGATGAGCGTTTTCACAAACTTCTGAAGCGCGCACAGGGCGCGGTTCTTGGAGCCAGCCTGGGCTGCCGTCTCTGAATTCAGTTTCCCTGTGCTCCTCCTCTTCCTCCTCTTCCTCCTCCTCCTCCTCCTCCTCCTCCTCCTCCTCCTCCTCTGCCTCCTCCTCCTCCTCCTCCTCCTGCTCCTTTTCTTCCTCCTCTTTTTGACGGGGGGGCTCTTGGGGACGGGCCTCAGGACCACACATCACCTCGGCAAAACTGGTCAATCCTGCTCTCGCACGGGCGTTCCCGTGTACGGATTCTTACCGTCCAGGATTCGATCACGATAGAGCTTCCGCCAGGGATGGGCGACAATACCCTTCGTCAAAGGGCCCTCGCATTCCCGCAACAACTTCTGGGCTCGGGAACGGGCTCCTCCTCCTCCTCCTCCTCCTCCTCCTCCTCCTCCTCCTCCTCTTCCCTCCCCCCCTCCCCTTCCTCCTCCTCCTCCTCCTCCTCCTCCTCCTCCTCCTCCTCTGCTCCTCCTCCCCCTCCTCATCCTCCTCCTCCTCCTCCTCCTCCTCCTCCTCATCCTCCTCCTCCTCCTCCTCCCGTAGCCATTTTGGCTCAAGAGCCGTTCTGGCTCAGACCTGTTTCAGGTGCTGGGCTTGCAGCAGCAGGATTCAGAGCGGCAGTCGCTGCTGCGAGTCATCGTCCTTTGTGGCTATAGGTTTCAGGCCTTGCGCAGGCCCCAGTATACTCGCCCAGTCCCTGGGCTTCCATGGCAAATGGCGGAGGCGGAGCTGGAGAAGTTCTGGCTGGCCCCCGCTCTCCCACTTGGGCATGCGGCGCTTGCGGGAGGAACGCGAATTGGGCGTGCCGCATCGCATGTATATGTGGCGAGCGCGCACCAGCAGATGTGGTTCGTCGTGCTCGTGAGCGTACTGGCGGTGCTTCTGAGCGTGGGCCTCCTCGGCGCCGCGCACCAGCAGGAGCCGACCCTCTCCAGCAAAAGATCGACGCACTTCAGAAGAAGTACGATGCACTGGTGGCCAAGAGCAATGGGGTTACCCCGCCTGCGGCCGCCTCTTCCACGACTAACAAGGAGCAGTCCCCCGCAGACAAGCTCAAGGAGAAGATCAAGCAGCTGGAGAGCTCGCTGTCCGCGTGTAAGTCGCTGCCTGATGAAGTCGGTAAGGAAGCGTGTGAGTCTTTGGAGAAGCAGCTGGTGGACGCCCGCAAACATTTGGCGGCGACGAAGCCTGAGCTCACTCAGCATACTAACGTCGGACATCGGCTTTCTCGTGCGACGACACGCAAGAGCAAGCTTGAGCAGCAGGTTTCCGAGCAGCTGGAGATCATACGAGCAGCCGAAGAACGCACGGATACCCTTCGTGCGCAGATCAAGGCAGCAGAAGAGGAGATACTGTTGCTTAATCGTGAACTGGTCGACACGTTACCATTGGCGCCCAAGGTCAATCTGGAGGTCGATCCTAACGTCTTGGCACAGCATCCTCAAGCAGCAGTTCTCAAGACGTTCATGGAGTCAGAAACGTTCAAGATCTTCGCTGAGGTCCTGGGCGAGAGCATGAAGGCCCGTGAGCCTCCCAAGCCAGCGACAGCTGCCTCGCCTTTCACTGCCTCATCTGGGGGCGCGAGTCAGGCTCATGGCAGCGATGCTAGTGCTAGCGGGTCAGGTGATGGTCGTGACGGGTCCGACGCAGATGCAGGTGGAGTTGGAGTTCGCGTCCCCGATGACATGGAACTTGACGACCTCGACGACACTACCATCGACAGCATCCTCACCGCTGCTAGAGAGGAGGGCTTTGACAAGAGTACCTTTTCTGAGCGGTTTGGCGGTCAGCTACGCCGAGTCAAGCCGCGTGTTTAACCAGAGCCAGCCTCTTTGCTGCGGTCTTAGGCTTTCTAAATTCGGAGTTCCTGCTCCACCTCCGCCCCCCTCCATCCCTTCGACCTCGCAGTCCTCAGAGCTCGATGGCATGGGTATCTGCTTCGAAACGTACAATGGCAACTGTTGGTCTACGTTACGAGACCGTATGAGGAGATCGTCGGCTAGTATCCTACTGGCGCAGGAGGTGGGCTTCCTCCAGGAGCGAGAGGGTGAAAAAGCTAGCTCTGCGGGGGCCCTGCGATGGAAAACGCTTTCGTCCCCATCCCCCCCTGGGGAGGGCAACCGAACCAGGGCTGGGGTGGCGGTCTTCGTTCGCTCACACCTTGTCCTTAGATGGCCTGCGGATCGGAAGGGCATCTTGTATCCTGGTAGGCTGATTCACGTTGTCGTTGATTTGTCAGGATGGCCCCCTCTGCAAGTGGTGTGCGGATATCTCAAGAGTGGCACTGGAATGTGCAAGTTGAATATCCAGCTGCTTCGTCTCATGGGAGAACGTCTCCAGGGCGAACACATGTTTTTTGGTTGGTTGCGACTGGAATCTCGACCCCAGCTTAGTTGATTCTTCAGGTGTGTGTCGTCGTACGGGGGGAGCGCCGTTCGTTCCCAGCCAGAAAACCTGCCTCTCCCCGCAAAGTCTCTCTACGATTGATTACTTCTTGGTGAGTTCTGGCCTTGCGAAGGCCACCGACGGGGTCCAAGCGGACCTGGAGTGGACCCATAGACCCCACCGCCCCGTTGCTTTGAAACTCAAGGATGACGCTGTTCGATGTTATCAGTTGCAGTATCGAGCCCATCAGCGTCTTCCCACTAGTCTGCCCATAGGACCTGCGCCACAACCGCAGGACTGGCGCCTCGCTCGGGGGATCGCTGAGGCCGCAGCCGAGGCTGCTCTAGAGGCTCCTGTCGGTCAGGCGTGGGCTTTGCTCTCTGTTGCGCGGCAGCACTTCGCCAACACCTTCGAGCTTGAGCTCGAGAGCTACACTGGAGAGGTTGTGAGGAGTAAAGGTTTTCGAGGTGACTATCTGAAACCCAAATGGGCCCCGATGTTTGCCAAGCCCCGTGCTTTAGAAATGCGTTCGGTCTCTCGGGGATGGATTTGGCTGGCCCAGCACCTCTGCGAAACGGCGGGGGCCCCTGGGAGGCTCCAGCAGGCCTACATGAGGGCCGCCGAGGACCCCGATGGATTTGAGGACATCACGGCCCGTGATCAGATGCTTCAGGATGTTCAGCTCCAAATTCAGCAGCTTCTAGGTCTCCCTTGCCCAGGAGAAGGAGGCGACATTCGCCTTGAGTCGACCCTGCGGCAGGCGCGCAGCCTGGCAAGCAAGTTCCCCTCGTCAGGCCCTTTTGAATGGCTGGTGCGACGAGTGCCAGGAATTCTCACAGTCGTGGGAGGACGACCTCCTCTCGGCCAAGCAGGCCATTGTTAAGCAGCAGCAGACCAGCTGGGATCAATGGCAGGAGCAGGCTTTGGAAGGAGGGGCTAGAGGGATGCATCGCCTTACTAAGTTAAAAGCCAAGTGAAATCCCACCGTGGTCCAGACCTCTCCTGGAGTTTTCAGCAGTAGCCCCCAGCTCCTCCTTCGACGTGAAGGTGAGGAACTGGCTAAGTTTTGGCACGCGTCTCATGTGCCTCCTGAAGCTTGCGTGCCCGACCGTGTCCACCTGCCTCGGCCGACGGCTGCTGAGCTTAGGAATGCGTCGAGCAGTTTCAGTCATCACACGTCCCAATCCCTTGATGGCTTTCACCCTCGTCATTTCAGCCTCGGGTCGGACGCGGCTCTTGAAACTTTCGCGGCGCTGGTTCAAGCGATTGAGTCCCTGGGCCTCTTCCCTAAACAACTGGTTTGGCTCCTCTTTCCCTTGCTTGAAAAACCGAAAGGGGGCCTGAGGCCCATTTTGTTATGTGCGGGACCCGTTCGCGTTTGGGGGAGATTGCGGCGCCCCGCCATTGTAGATTTCAACGACAGGTATCCTCGCAAGTATTGGGCCTTCGGACCAGGTAGGAGTGCTGAGGACGCTGTGTTGCATCAGGCCGTTCGGGCCGAGGTCGCGCACCATGATGATAAGGTTACGGGGGGATTCATATGGGATGGGACTAAGTATTACGAGTCCTTCGATCTCTCCGTGCTGAGACAGCGAGCCTTAGATTATGGCATCGATGCTACGATAGTGAAGACGACGTATAATTATTGGCGAGGCCCGCGGCTGTTGCGGCTTGGAGCCCAATATGCTACTGTGCCCTACTTCGCCTCTTCGGGCTTACCTGCTGGAGATATCTTTAACGATGTCTCCGTTCGCGTCTATAGCATCGAGGCCTTTGATAAGTTCGTTGACAATCATAGAGATGCGTGGTTATCCTCTTACGTGGACGACGACAGTGTGACGACGGAGGGGACGGAGGATGAGGTGATTAGCAACGTTATCCGAGCGGCAGCAGCTTTGTTCATCATCTTTAGAGATGAGCTTCGTGTGGCTGTGCATCCTGACAAAGTTTGCACGTTTGGTAGTTCGCTCACGCTGGCCCAGAGCATTGCACGACATCTGGGGCACATGTCAGGCCAAGTATCTAACAATGTGGTTTCACTCGGTACCGATCTTGCTCCTGGCCAGTGTCGTTCGGCACATAGAGCACTGCGGAGACGACGGACCCGCCTTCATGATATGCGGCGGCGGCACCGCGTTCTCCAGCGATATCGTCATGCCCTCCCCCGACAGAAAGGTCGTATCGGGAAAATATACGTCGCTGGAGTTTTGCCTGCGGCCAGTTTTGGATCGGGGGTGATAGGTATGAGCAACCAAGAACTCCAGCAGGCTCGACGGGTCCTCTTAGCCTACAAGCCCCCTCGTCACCAAGGATGCTCTTTGCACGCCAAGCTCGCCATTCTAGGCGATCCTGTGTGGCGCGCTGCGGTTGCTCCTGTGCTTCACTGGGCTGGAGTCGTGTGGACGGCGATCACGTGTCCGCAAATATCCCAGTACACGGTTAAGGATTTGTGCCTTATATGGCGCACGATACCCTTCGATGATGATGTCACCGGGCGGTCCTCTAGGGGACCTGTGCAGCGTATGCATCTCAGCCTTCACAGACCGGGGTGGGTTTCTACGTCGGCCTTGACCCTTCGGGATGATAAGGAGAGAGAAATATACTTAGGTTACACCTCCCCTTCTATGCTCGCGCACCTCCTGGATCTCGCTTCCCAGAGGGCCCACGAGAGGGCCCTGGCCGAGCACACGCTTGGCTTCGGTGGTGATCGCGTTTGCGTTGAGCCCATCAAGAAAATTCTGGGGCCCCAAGGGAAAGGCCTTAGCCCTCGGGAAAAATACCTGGCGCTCACCTGTTTTTGTAAGGGAGTGTGGACTCGTACGCGGGCTCGCGCCTGCGGGTACCAGGCCGACGGCTTGCGCCCTCTTTGCGGGCAGACCGACAGCGTGAGACACCGACTTCGGCAGTGCATGCACCCGACGGCGGCTGCGGCGCGAGCCGAAGCGCTTGACGGAGTTCCCGTCGAATGGCATGCGGAGGCTCTTGAGAGTGAGGACCGTCTTTTCTTTGACGAGATGAAATGGCCTCATCCCGAAGCCTCGCACCCGCCCCCTTCCCCCGAACCCAACCCACAACTGTATGATGCCTCGGGTGCTGCTGTGCCTTGGGACGCGATCGACCTGAAGGGGCTTGATGCGTGCGTGGACGGTTCGGCCAGCAGACATTGTATCCGTGAGCTTTCGCGGGCCTCTTACTCCTGGATCTTTCTGGGGCCCCGACCCAATGACATTGTTGCTACTGCTCGTGGCACCGTCCTGGACACCCCCCCTCAAACATCCCAGGCCGCGGAACATCAGGCGATGGCTTTGCTTCCCATGTTCCAGCAGCTCGGGGGAAGCAGGTACGGGGACAGCCTGACCGTTGTCAAGTTATGCCGTGCGGACCCCATGCATCAAGTTTCTAGGAAGCATCGTTACGCTGGTCTGCGTCGTGGATCGCTGCGGCATGAAGTCGCTGGCCATGCACCCGCTGTCTCTCACACGCCAGCACACCGACAGTTGGCTGCGATTGACGCTTTGCCAGAGGATGAAAGTCGTATCGTCTTGGGAAACTGGCACGCAGATGCTCAGGCCAGAACAGCTCTCCTCTCTCACCCCCAACCCTCCCTGAATGAAAGAGAGGAGGTGGACAGGAAATGTAAACTACTGCGTATCGTTGCACGTGTTTGTGGAAAGGTCCTTTCGGCCTTCCCTCATGAGAAATTCGATCGTATCAGCTTTGGTCCTAGGTCCAAGTTTTTAAAATCAGGGGGCTGGCATGCGTGGCAAGACCTCGAACAAGGCAAGTCGCGATGCTTGCATTGTCTTGCTTTATGGACCGACCCGCTTTCCAGACCCATGCTTGGGTGCAAAGGCATGAGTAGCACGTGGCGCAAAACATTAGACGTCAGTCTTGGTCACACTCTTGCCCACTGTCGTGTCTCAAAAGGCGAGGCCGAGAAAACACTGTTCTTTTGCATCGTGTGTGGAGCGTACACTTCTAGCCGCTGCCATAAGCTCGGCCAGGAGTGTTCCCAACGTCGGTTGAGCGGAGCTCCGACGACGCTCCGCCGCATATACAATGGCCTCTACCCGCATTATCGTGACACCTCGAGGCTCACGAGCAGCACGAGAAGGGGCAGCTCGTTTTTGTGTTTCTCCGCGTCTCAGCCGCCGCCGCAGGAGGTGGTTGTCTCAGGAGCTCTTTCTTCTGGCCTCGTCCAAACTCCTGGTATGATCGCGCTGCAGGCGCGGATCCAGGCAAAGGAGGCGGCCGCCAGTTCGATTGCTAGAGTTGTCACACCCTCTCGTCACCTCTCGTCGGCTTCGTCTCAGAGGCCCTCCAGCGCGCCTGCGCGCGAAGAGGAGCCTGCAGACGATTTTGGTGCCGACGAAGAAGCATCGAGATTTTTGTTCGAATCTTCTACCGATGGACAGGAGCCACGTGTGTCTCCTGGTCAACCTGTGCGCGTGGCAGCCGCGCGCCTCGCACATGACGAGGACGAGGCTCCTTTTGTGGCAGCCGAGGAGGAGGCGTCCCTCGTTGGCCGTGTTTACTGCGTTCAGAGAGCGGGCACGTGTCACCAGTGGTCTGACTCTGTTTCTGTAAGACCGTGCTGGCGCCGTGTGCTCGGTGCTCTGCGTGCTTTGTTTTCTGAGCCTCCTGCGCACCGCCCCAGGTCGCTCTCGACCAAGGTTCGCTCAGGCGACCCTCTCGGTCGCCTGTTAGCAGTGTTCACGCCCCTTGGGGACCGATGACGAACAAAAAAAAAAAATCCTCCTCCTCCTCCTCCTGCGACGGACGCGTGTTC